TTCAAAGGCGCTGATTGAGCATCCATTCGACCGCAAGAACAAGTGGGCCAGAACAATAACAAACGAATGACGAATGTTGAATGTTGAATGTGGAAAAATCAGCCATAAATAATGCACAAGTCAATCATGCAAAATACACAAATATATATGCCGCAGTTAATTAGCGCTCACTGATTTTTAATGGCGTTAATTGCACGGCATAAATGATACTCAGCAACAGTAACAAAAAAAAATAAATAAAAAATAAACAAAAAATAATGGCAGAGGAAGGCCCATTTTTCGCTGTGTTAATAATCGGCGAAATAAAAAGAGAATTTAATTAGCAACAGTTGCACGCACAACAAAATGCCGGGCACTGGCTACAGTCGAACGCCAGTCCCAGGCTTAAACTTCCTCATTAAATTGCAAATAATTATGCATTCTTGCAACTTAAGCCCAAAGCTGCATGAAAATTTGGCAACCTTTTTTTTTTGTTTGAGGGATTCCTGCAGAATTATTGAAAGTATTTTTCGATTATTGCAAGAATTTGTTAAAGCATTTTTTTTTCATTAATGCCACATGCTGTTTCCCTAGAATAAAATGCCTTCCTTTGCCCGCTTTGCAATTTTAAACCTTTTTGTATAATTGTGATAGAGGAGTGTGAGTGTTTTAATGTACTCTGCTTATTTCTGACACGCTTTCTCGATTTATTTTCCCCAGGTTACACTTTCAGCGCAGTTAGCAGGTTGAGTAAAATGTTGAAACAGCTATCAAACTTAAATTCAACTGGCTCTTGGCACTGCTCCTCCCACCTGCCTGCTCTCTGCCACTGATCCACCCTGCTTCTGTGACTGCCCTGCCAGGACAAACTTTTCCAAGAGGAAGCGACAGTTGATTTAACACGAACACATACACACACACCACACTCACACACACTCAACACACACATACACACACTCACCCAGTCACAGACGCGTGCACCTGTCGTCAAAACTTGCATAAGTCATGAAAGCCCCTGGACTGCCAGTGGAAAGCAGGAGTGGTGGGGGTAAGAGAAAAGCAAAGACTTCATTTGCCACTGCCACTGCCACTGCTGCAAGCAGCTCTACGCTGGCATTAAAAATGTCAGCTCGAGTGGAGCCACCAACAGAACACAAAATCCCAGATCTGAATCCGAATATGCCAGCGAATCCAAATCCGTATCAGAGTCAGAGTCAGTGCCAGACCTCGAACCAGAAATTTATGTGAGCTAATTAAATTTAATGCGCTTTGTGTGCCATCATCCTGGCCTCTACCCGGGGGCCAGAGTCCATCTGCATGTACTGGGAACCTGCAGCCATGGAGGCAGGAGGCTGCAGCGACTGCCAGTCAGTGGGAACTGCCTGCCGAAAGTTCTCTTTAATTTTTGATCAACTTTTTGCAGGAGTTTCTGTTCTGTTCTGTTCGGTTCGGTTCGGTTCGGGCTGAGCCTTTCAATTTAAACATAAAGTTGTGTCCCAAAAATCTACCGGAAAGCTGGAAGAAACTTTATAGGCTTGTTAAGGGCAAAGAAAGTTTTCTGTGCTGAGACCTCAAAAAACTCCAACCAGCCAACCAGCCAGCCAGCCAACCAGCCAGCCAGCAGCAACAAATGAAATGAAAACGTGTCAATTTACTTTCTGACAAGCAAGAAACAAAGACGACAAAGCAGATGCTGACAATCATCATTTAATAATATGTCAGAGAGTTGCCTCGTGTCCGTTGTTTCGTTTTAATTTCCAATTAGTTTTGTCAACTTTTCCCACTCGGATTTTCCCCCCCACAATTATGATTCAAAGTTTTGGCTTTGCTTTGGGCCAATTGATTGGCGGTGGCTTATTGAATGACTGAATGAATGTATGTATGCCTCGGACTTTGTCTGTTTATGATCACAACCCTTTGCGGCTTCTGTTCACCGCAAGTCATCTCCTTCTTTGATGGTTTACGGTCTTATTTATTATTTCACTTTTATACGTTTATGTGTATGGGCAAAGAAACATTGCTTTGTGTTTGGTCCTTGACTTCGCGGACAGTTTGGATTTGGGTTGCTCCTTTTGCTCTCCTCTCTGGGCTGCTTTTTTTTTTTTATGGCAATTTGAAGCCGTTTTATTGTCACACCGCAGCAGCGGACTGGACTGGACGCCGCAGGGCTGTGTGCCCGGGGGGGCCACTTTAGAGTTGTCTTTGGGCATCATAAATTGTGCCACGTCGGCCATTTTGTGGCAAGCTGAGACATTAATTTGATGCTACAGCTAGAAGCGGCGGCTTCCGTTACGTGGAGCTGCCATTTCCGGGCGGCTCCATTCCACCGGACCCGAGAGTGCGAAGAACATAATTTATTTGCCATTATGGAAACTTCATTCGCTGTTGATTGGAAACTTGTAGCCGAGTAACCCCCAAACACACCCACAAACCCACATACCCACAATTTCGTGTGCCACAACAACGGAGCATAATTCCAAGTGCAGCTAAAGTTATGGCAGAGGGACAAGAGGCAAGGCCAAAAGGAAGCAGAAACCAGCCATAAGCAGCTCCTTCTGGGCTGTAAGGAGTGTTTGTCTGTGTGTGTGTGTGTGTGTGTGTCTGAAGGACGCAGCAAAATGCCAAACGCAAATGTCGCCAATATCCCAATGGCAATCGATGAAAATTTATAGAAAATTGCAAACAAATAAAATTTTACGTTTGTTTGCTTCTTTTTTTTTCATTTACGACGTCGGCGGCATGCCTCATGCTTCGTTCTCCCTTGCTCTCTACTGCCACACATCGTCTTCTGTTTCTTTCTTTCTTTCTTAGTCCCTGTTTTTCCTAACCTGTTTTTCTTGGCTTGGCTTGGCCTGGCTTGGCATGCGGAAATTCTGTTTCTTGACTTCTGCTCGTCAACGTGTTTTCTTGTGTGCTGCACCAAAAGCGATTTGCATTGCACCGCCCCAACACACCGCCCCGCCACCCCAAGGGTCTCACAGCATGCCATCGCATTGCTGTTAATGGTTACGATTGTCGTTTTCAATTTCAGTTAATTGAAACTGCTGGCAAGGGTAACAACACCATGACACAGTGTTCCCATTCCCATGAGGGACCTCCTTTTGCCTCCTCCAAACTTCCTTTACACTTTGCACATGCGAGTGGGAGGAGTTGCCCTTTGGGTGTTATGTTGGGTTTTGTTTTGTTTTGTTTTGTTTTGTTGTGTTGTGTGTCTCTCTTTCAAATGCTCAAAGCAAAGTCAAAGTAATGTAATGTTTTTGCTGCTGAAGCGTTTCGTTCCTTTGAGCATTAGTTCATTTTGTTTGCACTGGAAACTGCACTGGAAACTGTTTTTAGCGTCAACTTTTGAGGATAAGCAAAGCTTATGGTGGAGTTGTAGGTCCAGCCAAGCTGGCACTATTACAAGTATATTTCCCCAAGGACCAGCTTCTGGTTTAGTTTTTGCATGAATCGCAAGAGAGAGCAAGACAACCCTAGCCAGCTTCAAACGAATCTGCCTCTGATCTAAATCGGTTCTGGCTCTACTGATAGCTATATGTATTTATATATCCACTCTTTTCCTTAGCTTTACTCATATAAAAGAGTCAAACTGAGAGGGAAGCAATCAATGGCTGTCTTTAAGGGAATTTTTGTTTTCATAATTAGCTGAAGCCTAAACTTTTCAATGGCTGCCATGGAAGCACAAGGCCTCTGGGAAATGTTCCCAGCCCCTCCTCAGAGAGGGTTCTTTTAGCTGTTTTTATTTTATTTTTTTCGCTGTTTTTGCTGCATAAACAAAGAAATTGTTGTGCCCTTTGCCCACTAATTAACTCAATTAAAAATTAAATAATTTTAAACTCCATTCACGCCGCTTCATTTAGCCAGAGAACAGCACAAAGGGACTGCCAATATTGGGGCTGCTGTTGTTTTTGTTTTTGTTGTTGTTGTTGTCGTTGTGGCACCGCATGTTATTAAATAGCCGGCCGGTGTTGGCCCCGAATTGGCTAATTGTGAGACAGATACAATTGTGTAACAAAGCAACCGCAGCAACCAAGAGACACCACACACACGCAGCTCCGCAAGTCTGCGGCTAAGGCTAAAGCAGCACTTTGGGGCTCAGAAATGTAGCTATTGCATATCAATAAGTTTCTGGAGCATGGCAAATTTTCCACATCATTAAATGGCTAGCTGGGGCAGTTGGTTGCCTCAAATTTTTGGGTTGGTTTTGTTTTTTTTTTCCCTTTTGATTCTGGTTCGTGGCAGCCAGTCATATTCATCAGACACACCATATCAATCAACTCACTCTCTCTAGAGTTTACCCTTCCTAGGATTCTAATCTCTATTTTTGTGCTCTCAAAGAGTGTGTGGCACCCGCATCCAAATTCATTGCGTAAAAGGCTAAATTGTAGGCCAAAATGTTGTGAACTTTTATGAATGGGCGGAAAAAGCTTTTACGCATTGTTTACGCGGTCGAAAAAACGGGAAATTTGGCACGCTTTCCAGTGAAAGCTCTGGAATAGAAATAGTGGTAACAGTTCCACAGCAATTATAGCAGAAAAGCGAATGCAAAGCTTTAGCTATGCCTCGAACCAGTGCCAGCCAACAGCTGTGGAGGTTAGGAAATGTCAAGCGTAATTTATGCAGGTGGAGAGATTGTGTATAAAATAAACTTGGAACTTAAAATATTTAAATTTAATATATAAATATATAAATAATATATAATAAACTTTGAACTTGGAATAAATATTTAATATTTAATAAATAAATATTAAATACATATTTAAATTTAATATATAAATAATATAAAATAAACTTGGAACTTTGAATAAATATGTAATATTTAATATTTAAAAAATAAATATTAAATACATATTTATATTTAATATATAAATATACAAATAATATAAATTAAACTTGGAACTTGGAATAAATATTTGATATTTAAAATATAAATATTAAATACATATTTATATTTAATATATAAGAATTCATCATATTTAAGTTTTCAGTATACATAAATTTATTACGAATAATTTAATTTATTCCAGCTAACGAAACATCCATGCCACAGCATATCCTGTGAGAGGGGGAGGAGCTAAGCAGCACTGTTTGTGACAAGCAGTGCAAGCAGTTCAAAGCAAACACAGCTGCCCAAAAGCTCACTGAATAAAAGAGCTTGGACTGGCTGGCTGGCATTTAATAACCTACAATAAATAGCTGTAAATGCAACTTAGGAGATACAAAGGGAGTGAGAGATACAGATGCACACACAGACAAACACACACATACACATACACATAGATAGCAGGAGAATCACTTAGGGCTAAGAATACGATTAAGTATAGATGTAAGGATAGGTGTAAGCCACTTAATGACACAAATATTGTTTAGGGAACTTTCTTGAACTTGAGCAGGCACTCGTAGAGCGTCAAGTGCCTCGTCTCGGGCATCAGCATGTACACGAGCAGTCCGAAGAAGAAGCTGAGGGCGCCGATGGTGAAGAACAGGATGGAGTCCGTCAGGCAATGGTTGAAGGCGGCCAGGAGCAGGCCCAGCTGCAGCAGCTGCTCACAGACGAGAATGCCGGCCAGGCAGCGCGCCTTGTGAGCAATGCTGAACGCCTCCGCCGTATAGATGAGAGCCGGAACCGCCACGCCGCCGGACACAATCAGCTCGAAGAGCAGCATCAGCAGGGCAATGGCCTGCAGATTGATGTCGTAGAAGGTCTTCTTCACCGACTCCAGATGCTCAAAGACGCCGCCCACCATGACAATGATGATGCCAGCTATGAACAGTGACAGAGAGCAGAGCTTGCGACGTCCCTGGGTGTCCACCAGGAAGGCGCCACCCAGGCTGCCCACCAGACCGGCGAATGCCAGCCAATACAGACAGTTCATGTCGCACTCCAGGCCATGCCAGCTGACGACGAGGAATGCCCGGTTGAAGGACAGCGACAGGGCCAAGGTGGCAAAGCAGCGCAGCAGCAGCACCTTTAGCAGTGGCAGCAGGCGACGCGCGCAGCGATGCCAGCCGGGTATCTCCTCCGGCTCCTCCACAAACTGCTCCCAGTCGCGGGCATTGTGCAGCTGCCGGCAATCTTCGCGCAGGCGCACCAGCTCCGTGGCAGACTGGCCGTTCAGCTGCTTGAGGGTATCGCCCACGGCCATATCGCGTTCCTGGTGCAGCAGCAGCAGCGGCGACTCCAGCCGATGGGCGAGTGCCAGTATGACGGCGCCCAGTCCCAGGGCTCCCAGCAGTATGCCGTGCAGCTGATCAATGTGCATGGCATAGCCCCGCTGCACCGGCTCCAGATTGTACCAGACGCGCGTGTAGAAGACCTGAATGCAGACGCCCAGCCAGAGGAAGATGCGCTCGCAGCTGAGCAGCATGCCGCGTATCGATTTGTGGGCCACTTCCGATCCGGTGACCAGCGCCTGTATCTGGGTCAGCCCGTAGGCGGCTCCCACACTCACGCTGCTGTAGCAGGCGGCTCCAAAGTGTTGAGGCAGTGCCAGATTCAGAACGCCGGCCATAAGCAGCAGAAAGCCACTGGATGTCTGGGAAACAAAGCAAAAGAAAACGGATGCGGGTCTTGAGTCCGATTTGCAAAGATATTAATTCTGATTCTCCGTTCTCCTTACTCCCACGTGTCCCTCGGTCTTTACACAGTCGTCCCTCCAGCCCTCTATTACTCGTATCTAGCACACATAAAAATTATGGCCTATGCGGGGGAACATTTAGGGGATTTTTTTTAAGCCTCATGTTTTTTTTCAGTAATTTTCCTTTTGGGCAAACCCCAAAAATTGATCGATCAGCCCTCGCAACTGAGACTATCGCCACTTAATGACCAATGCAGGTTGAACGCGATCACTTTATGGCTATCAGTTTATTGGTTTGATAAGCCGCCCTCTAATGGTCGAGTGCTAATGGCCACGGTATCTCCAGTACGAGTTGTACGGGAGATACAGACACAGCGCAGACCAGAGCAAATGGATTTGATGTACGTAAATGTGGGGGAGATTCGTATTCGTACCCGTACTCACATAGGCAACATTTTTGGTAACACGCTGCACAAAGAAGGCGGCCAGCAGGGCACCCAGGGCGGCGCCAATGAACCAGCTCATCATCAGATTCTGTGTGTTGTTGTTGTTCAGAAACTTGCCAGCGGGCGTATCAAAGATGGACCAGGCCAGCCGCATGCCAGAGCCCACAAAAACAATCGAAGCTGTCAGATACACAGATATTACATTGATGAGATTTACTGATCTATGATGGGACAACTATCTTGGCGTTTACCCGCAGCCATGGACTGGAACTGGAGACGATAGCGCCACATGAGACGCAGCCAGGAGAGCTTTCCCTCCTCCTCAATGGTCGGCAGCATTGGCATATTGGCTCTCTACACGTAACACAATTCACAATTTCTATAGAGGCTTCCGCAATTGTTATTTATATGTTATTGAGTTATGCGATTGATTTGTTATTTGTTTACTTGGCATTCTTTTCACTGGAAATCGCCGCTGCCGCTCTATTGTCTTCACCAATTTGTCATTTTCATTTTGATATTTTGTTGTTTGCTATTTTCTGTCTATCACTTTAAGGGGGGAGCACGGGCACTCCACAATTGTTGGTCTGAGGTTTATTTCGCGATGTTCCGTACTTGACCGACTGCCTGCTCCGACGCGCTTTAATAAATGGCAGAGCATCGAGCAGCGGCTATTGAGCGAACTGCTGCTCAAACGAACGCGTTTTCAGCTGAGATAAGATAAGCGACAAGCATAGAAAACCATTTTTTGTCTGTCAGCCCGCTCTTATCAGCTTGATTATTTGGATATAAATAAATTAATTAAATTTGAATATAGTATACTACTGTGAGTTTTTTTATTCACAAAAAAATATTGGTATATGGCCAAGGGTGAGCAGAAAAGTCAATACAAATTTATTGACTGTGATAAGGGAGGGAGAAAGGTCTAGGGTGCTATGATTTTGATAGTTCAGTTCACTGGGAACTAGTTGGCCCATGGCATAGAGCTAGCCGCCATATGGGGACAACAATACGAGTGTAGAATATTTCCAAAAATATTTCCCTATGCTCTTTGAGTAGCGAGCATAACAATGGCAGAGCATTGATCGTCAAATATATTTGATAATGAGGTTGTTAATGTGATAATCTTTTTGTTTCTGCCACGTGCCGCGCGGTGTATCGATGTCGTTTTGTATGTCTGTTCACAGTTGACAAAACATTTCTTTGATATTTATGCCAGGGCATTATTGATCAGGATATATCAGTTTTGGGTGTGCTTCGATTTATTTCAAAACAATATCAATGAGCTTGCCGCAAGCAGGTAACGAGCCAATCGGTGATTGGCAGAAGCTGAAGCTGCTCCTGTGGAAGAATTGGACGCTTCAATGGAACCAGAAAATTCAACTTATTTTTGCACTCGCTCTGCCGGTAATATTTCTGCTGCTTATTGTTGTGTTGCGTGTGCTGGTGGAGCCCGAATCGATGCCCGTAATTAGATACCCGCCAGTGTCGATATCGGATATGAATTTATTTCAGAAGTCAGTATTACACGGAAATCTAATTATGCACGATAATGGCACGCTAAATATACCCAAAAATATACTCTGCTATACGCCAGATAGCACCGCTAATCGTGCCATTATTACGGCTGCCACAATGCGTCTGAGACTTTTGAGCTGGCGATCCTACGACACCGCCTCGCACATGGAATATGATCTAGTAACGCACAACTACTTGGCGGGCGTGGAGTTCGTGAGCGAGACGACAAGTGCACTGAACGAGAAGGGATTCGCGTACACATTCAATTACAGACTTCGATTTCCCAGCGAACTGCGCACCATGTACGGGCCCATTATTGAGACGTGGCGGACGAGCAATCTGTTTCCCAACTACGATATGAGTGGGCCGCGCAACATGAATGCCAGCGATGGCGGGGTGCCTGTTGGCTATGTCATGGAAGGCTTTCTGCCACTGCAACACGCCCTGACCATGTCCTGGCTGCAACTGAGCACGGGGCGCACAAGCGAACAACTGCCACAGATACATCTGCAGCGGTTCCCCTACAGATCGTACATATATGATCCGCTGCTGAGCGGCCTGCAGCAGCTACTGTCGTTCATCATACTGCTCAGCTTCATCTATCCGTGTTCGTTTGTGGCGAAGCACGTGACCAACGAGAAGGAACTGCAGCTGAAGGATATCATGAAACTGATGGGCATCCACAACTGGATCCATTGGCTGGCCTGGTTTATCAAGAGCTATGCCATGCTCATGATTGTGGTCGTACTGCTGATGTGCCTGCTGCTGGGCAAGTATTACAAGTCCGTTGCCATTCTTACCCATTCGCATTGGCTGCCCCTGCTCGTATTTCTGCACACATATGTTTTTGCGAGCATTTGCTTTTGTTTCATGATTGCCGTTTTCATTTCCAAGGCCAGCACATCGGCGGCAGCAACCAGTATTCTGTGGTTCATCACCTACATACCATATTCATTCTCGTTTTACTACTACGATCGCTTGAACCTTGCCACCAAGCTGGTCTTGTGCCTGCTGATGTCAAATACAGCGCTGGGATTTGGTTTTCATGTGATAATGGCCTGGGAGGGCACAGGCGAGGGCGCACGCTGGCACAATATGTTTCAGCCCGTCTCCTTGGACGATAGTCTATCGCTGATTTATGTGATTTGTATGCTCTCAGTGGGCGGCCTAATCTATCTGACAGTCTGCTTATATGTGGAACAGATCTGCTGTGCAGACACGGCAATGACTCGTCGTTGGTATTATCCTTTTCGGCGTACATTTTGGTCACAACTTCTAAGTCATTCGGATAGTACACAACTTTACCCAGCACACCCACTTTCCAGCCCAATCAATTTGAACAAAAGAAATCCAAATATTGGCATTCAGCTGTGCAATCTGCACAAGAGCTACGGCAAGCATAAGGCTGTCAATGGATTAAATCTGAAAATGTATCGCAACGAAATCACAGTGTTACTTGGCCAGAATGGTGCCGGAAAGACGACAACAATTCATATGCTAACGGGCATTGTCCAACCATCGGCTGGCACAGCCCTACTCAACGGCTATGATATACGCAGCCAACTGGCAGCGGCGCGCCGATCCTTGGGCATTTGCCCCCAGCAGAATATACTCTTCGACCAGATGACGGTGCGAGATCATATTAAATTCTTTAGCCAACTGAAAGGTGTGCGCGGCCCGGCCGCTGTTAGCTGTGAAGTGAGTAAGTACATGAGGCTATTGGAGCTGGAGGACAAATCACGCATTGCTGCCCGTAAGCTGTCCGGTGGCATGAAACGGAAACTTTCGCTGTGCTGTGCGCTGTGCGGCAACACGAGCATTGTGCTGTGCGACGAGGCCAGTGCTGGCGTCGATGCAGCCGGACGTCGAAGTCTCTGGGAGCTGTTGCAAGCCGAAAAGATCGGACGCACTGTACTGCTGACCACACACTATATGGACGAGGCGGATGTGCTGGGCGATCGCATTGCCATTCTGTGCGATGGCAAACTCAAATGTTATGGCAGCTCATTTTATCTGAAGAAACGTTATGGCATCGGCTACCGTTTGATTTGTGTTAAGCAAAAGAGTTGCAATGTTGCAGAGGTCACACAGCTGCTGCATAAACATTTGCCGGCCATACAGCTGGAGAGTGAGTTTGGCAGTGAGATAGCCTATCTTTTGCCCAGCAAGCACTCCAAGAAATATCCGGATTTATTGAGTGCCTTGGAGCAGCAGTCGAACGCGCTGAAATTGGATGGCTATGGCGTAAGTGTGACCACTCTGGAGGACGTTTTCATGCAAGTCAGCCACATAGCAGAGAACGAAGCTGCTGCTGCTGCTGCACAGCCACAAGGTGAGGAAGGATTCAATGATTTGTTTACCGATATGGAAATGAAAGAAAAGCGCTGGTACACCCGCTGCTACATGCGCTGGCAGGCACTCTTCCTGAAGAAGGCTCTCATCACTGGCCGCAACTACTGGCTGCTGCTGGTGCAGATTCTACTGCCCATATTAATTATGTCGCTGACGATACTCAATTCGAAGGGCGGACGCATTTACTATGAGCTGCCTGCAATGAAAATTTCACTGCATCAGTATCCCAAGGCCTTTGTGATATTTCACGATGAGACAAATGAGCAAATGCCATCACTGGCCACCGCCTATGCGGAGCATTTGTCCAGCTACGGCCTGGGCTATAGCCTAATAAATAGGAGTGATGATGCCAGCATGGAGGAATACATTTTGGGTATTGGCAAAAATCTGAATCGTCGCATCGATTTTCAGTACTTGGCCGGGCTGAGTATCGGCACGGATAACCTGACAGTTTGGTTAAATAATAAGCCATTGCATACGGCCCCATTGACACTCAATTTGCTGCACAATGCGCTGGCAGTGGAAATGCTGGGCAAGCAGGCCAGAACGGGGGTCACCAATGCCCCCTTGCCGTACAACAATCAAACACTGACGCTGCGTCTGAACAAGGGACAGCGGCTGGGCGCTGAAATAGCCATCAACCTGGGCCTGTGCATGAGCATTATCACGGCCCTGTATGTGATTCCGATCATCAAGGAGCGCGAGACGCGGGCCAAGCTAATGCAATTCCTGACGGGCGTCGATGTGTTTGCCTACTGGATCAGCCAGCTATTGTGGGACTATGCCGTATTCTCGGTGTCTGCCTTAATGGCCATACTCACAATTTCCGCCTTCCAAGAGCCCTGGCTATTCAACGGTCTCCGATTTGGGCCTGTACTATGCCATTTTATTATTATTTGGCTTGGCCGCCCTGCCGCTCAGCTACACATTCTCCGGCTTCTTCTGCGATGGCGCCACGGGCTTCACACGCACTGTGATTGCCACCACCTTAACGGGCACTGGCTTGTTCATGCTGGTGCTGGCCCTGTCATTCGAAGCCTTTCAGCTGAAGCACATTGCGGTGCAGCTGGCCTGGTACTTCCGTGTGTTCCCCCATTACTGTTTGGCCAGTGCCATTCATCATATTCACATTGGATTTAATATACGGCGTGGATGCAGCTTTGCGGGTGTTCGCAAACTGCCAACAAGCATTCGCTGTCGCACCATACCCGTGTGTTGCAACATTCCCGGCTACTTTGATTGGCCTGCGCCCGGTGTGCTGCCAGAGATCCTGTACCTGTGCGTGGTGGCCGTAATTCTGCTCTCGTTGCTAATGATTTGTGATGCCAAGATCTGTACCTGTGAGGCTGTCTGCTGTAAGCCCTATAGACTGTTGTGTTCGATTGGCAAACGTCGCAGAGTGCAGAAAGGCGAATCAACGTTCGATAACGACGATGTCAAACGGGAGAGTTTCCTTGTTAAAAATATGACACAAGCGCAACGGAAACTGATGCCGCTGCTGGTGGATGGCATTAGCAAGCGTTATGGCAACAGCTTTGTGGTAAAGGATCTCTCATTTCATGTCACGCACGCCGAGTGTTTTGGCCTGCTGGGCATCAATGGCGCCGGCAAGACCACAACCTTCCGGATGCTAACTGGCGATGCACGCATCAGCGCCGGCTTCGCTTACGTTGAGGGCAGAAACTTGTGCAATAAAATGCATAAAGTATACGAAAAGATCGGCTATTGTCCGCAGTTTGATGCATTGTTTGATGATTTGACTGGTCGCCAGACCCTGCGCATTTACTGCCTCCTGCAGGGCGTGCAGCGTCGCCATGTGGCTGAAGTCTGTTCGGCCCTGTCCGTATATTTCGGTTTCCATCCACACATAGATAAGCTAACCAAGCACTATAGCGGTGGCAATAAGCGCAAGCTGAGTGCTGCCATATCGATTATTGGTAACCCATCCATCCTGTATTTGGATGAGCCGACAAGTGGCATGGATCCGGCAGCACGGCGACAGATATGGCGGCGAATAGCCCATATACGGGCAGCGGGTAAGTCGATTGTGCTGACATCGCACAGCATGGATGAGTGCGAGACGCTGTGCACCCGCCTGGCCATTATGGTGGATGGCCAATTCAAGTGCATTGGATCTGTGCAAAATCTTAAAAATCGATACTCAAAGGGACTCATATTGAAGATGAAAATTAAGCATTCCAAGAGAAGTGTTCAGCGACCAGTAGACAGTTCGTCCAGTTCGGAAGGGTCAGTTAAAAGAGGCGATGAAGTAACGCGTACAAATAATAATAAGCGAACTGCTGAAATTAACATAATCAATGGAAATGATTTGGCCAATCGAATTTTAAAACTAAAGAACTTCATTTCCAAAGCGATGCCCGATGCCATGCTGAAGGAAAACTGCAATGGCATGCTCACGTATTACATTCCACTGCAGCAGTTAATGTGGTCGAAGCTATTTCGATTAATTGAAAATAATAGAGACAAATTATACATAGAGGATTACTTAATAATACAGACAAGATTGGAGGAAATATTCTTGGATTTTGCACTAAAACGAGATCAGTCTGGCGAGCCATAAAATTAATTTTAAAATATATTCCTGCTATATACTGCTACACAGATACCTCTGTTTTTTTTTTTGAATTTTTAATACGCATCTATAAATATGCCAGTAAATAATTAAGCCCAACAAAACTGCTTTGGGCATGTCGATTGTGGCAAATGATTATAATTGATGACGTTAATGGCCGTGTGTAGACATTCTTAGTGTTCACTTTAAATTGCAGCAAACATTTATACAGGAGAGCCCAACATCTAATCTAAGATAAATGATAGCCGACTTAATTGGAGGTCGCAAATACTCGCAAACGTTTGTGCCTACACTGCGCGCTTATCTGACAAGTGGGATCCCCAGAATCAAATTAAAATTAGCTCTTCATGCTGACAGCAGAGAAAGAGCAGGCCGAGACACGTCGATAAGACACGAACAAGAGTGCCTTGGGACTGCCAGGGGACTGCCATGGGACTGCCAGGGGACTGCCAGGGGACTGCTATGCGTTCCTATATAGATTACATATATTTATTTTCAGCTATATCTAAGGGGTTGGGTGGGTGGGTGGTATAGTCTTATTGTGTGTGTGTGTTTGAGTGTTGCCTACTTTCAGGCTTGCGAGACCACAAAATTTCGAAACTTGATCTGTGCCTGACGCAGTGTCGTCATTTTGGTCTCCGGCATGCACCAGACGCTGCACAGAAATTCCGCCAGCAGCAGGGCAGCGAGGCTAAAGAAAAATGCGGCCATATTGTCAACGCCATCGATGTTTCGACTGAGATCCACGCGACAAATGCCCAGCTGGATGATCATCTCCAGCACATAGGCCAGGGCAATGCACTGCCGCTTCACACTCCGAGGAAAGGCCTCCGAAAGGTAGGCGGAGCTCGGGCCAAAGCCAATGCCCGCAAACAGCTGGTACAGCAGCAGCAGCCACAGCGCCATGCGCATGTCCTTGACGCGCAGCAGCTCGCTCGCCACAAATCTGCTGGCCACACCAACCGCCAGTCCGCCAGCCATGACCAGGCCCAGCATCAGGGGGATCTTGCGGCCAAGCGTGTCCAAGGCGAAGGCGCTCGTGCAGCTGCCCGCCAGTCGCAGCAAGCCGAAGAGCACAAAGGGCCCCGAACTGCCCGGATAGACAATGGTGCTCGTGAAGCTCAGCGTGTAGGCTACCAGCATGCTGGAGCTCGTCGCGTAGAGTCCCCGCAACAGGCAGAGGTGCAGCAGGGCGGGCAGTGCCTCCGTCCAGGCTCTCAGGCCCCTCATGGGCTGATTGTGGGCCAAATAGGTGCGATGATTGTCCATCTGATCATAGGTTTCAGCGGTTACGGCTCTGGGCCGATGCAGCCGGCTCAGTGCATCGAGGGCTCCCTCCTCGTCGCCATGGCTCAGCATATCCACGGGCGATTCGATTGTCAGCAGCCAGGCCATGCAAATGGCAATCACGCCCAGAATGGCGCTGAGTACGCCCTGGAACTGCTCCGCCGTGAACTCACTGTCCGTGTCCCAGCTCGCGCTGCACACGATCTGCACAAAGATGCCCAACGTAGTGGGCCACTGCTCGCCGGCTGAGGCCGTTACGCCTCGCTTATAGTACACCGACAGCTCTCCGGCCATGGCCAGTGTGGGCGCCAGTGCCAAACCATTGGCGAATCCATTCAAATATCGCGCCACGAACATGGCCTTGACATTGAACTGCCTCACCCCCATCACAATGCCTCCAATGACCGTGAGCATGGCGCACAGTTGCTGTGTGGGTATCAAAGTAAAGGGTTTTCTGCTGCTGGCTTAATCGTGGTGTTTTTCAATTGCACTTACCATGAGCTGCCTGTAGGTCAAGCGACGGCTAAGGAAGCCACCCAGCAGCGCGCCAACAATGGCCGCAATGAACCAACTGATGCGCAGGTGGGAGCTGACCTCCAGCTCGGCCAGTAGACTATCGAAGCCAATGCTCCAGGCGATGTGCAAGCCGCCAGTTACGAAGATCAAGGCAGCTGCAAAGTAAACCAAATATATATATAGTTATAAAGTGTGGCCCATGGCTATACAATCCCTAGTCCAAAAAGGTGTATGCAAAGTGCTTAAGAGTGTTCATTTGTAGCCTTCAATTTAGTCATTTGTTTAGTGTGGCCTCCACACCTATTTATTCTGTGAACAATTGACTCACAGTTGACTCACTGATGGCCACAAGTTCTACACACACACACACACACACACACACTTATATTTATTTCGTAAATCATACCAGCTCCAATTGCATTTGCCTGTGGCTGATTGCGCCGATCCTGATTGCAGCAGGTGCCCTGTCCCGTCTGGTAGATCATTTCCCGTTGCACCGCCGCACCGGGTGGGGCCGTGGGTATGGCCTGAAAGCCACTTGTTGTCGCTGTTCCCTCTGTCTGCATGACGTTTGGTATCGAGCTGATGGATGGCTATCGACCGTTTTGGTCGCGCGTCAGCACAAGACTACAATGCTCCCCGTGGCTCGGGCAGTTCTTTCACGATGGGTATGGTATGTTGAGCGGGCTTGTTTCCATTTGGTTTAACCATCGATGGCACACTAATCTTATCGTGTACCTACCGGCAACGATTGATAAGTGAACGCGTTCGAATTTTCGGTTGTGTTAGCTGTTTTATTTGATATCGCTATCAGATACGCGTATCAGCGATTTTCCTATCGCTGAATGTTTGCATTCGGTTCAACGCGCACCACGAGGGTGTGGGTGTGGTTGCGGGTGCGGGTGAGGGTGAGGGTGAAGGTGAGAGATCACAGCATGTGTTGCTGTTTGGTTTTCCGGTTTTCCCCAATATTCGTTGCAGGTAAATAGCTTTGCACTGAAGATTTCAAAATTATCTCTACTGAATTTTCGTTTTGTCGCACTTTATTTGTTGACACACAAGTAAATAAATACAAAAGAAGACAAGCAATACATGCAATAAATTCATGACATTTGGTGACAATTCAATTTCTATGTTTTGACAGTCCTGAAATGTTATCTGGCATTTTTTTTTTTTGCGATAGGCAAGGGGCGAGGCTATAAATATTTATTATATTTGATTTGGCTGTGACTCCAAAAACCTGCCGTAAGATGTTGCGCCAACTCGTATCGCTCTCTCACTCTCTAATCACACAGCAAACAACTTGTGTGTGTGTGTGTGTGTTAGCTCTGTTAGAGGCCAACATTGATGAGTTTGCGGAACTTCTGCTGGGTGCCGCGCAGCGTGGTCAATCGGGTCTCTGGCAGGCAGAAAATGCCAGCAATAAAGCCAAACAGATATAGTCCACCAATGGCATAGAAGTAGCTGCCGCCATCGTATAAATTGAAATGAGCCGACGAGACAATGATGTACACGAGCATCTCAGCGATGAAGGTGAAGGCGATACAGGGCTGCTTGACACCCAGCGGATAGGCCTCCGTCAGATACGGCGAGGTGGAGGTGAACGCTAGGCCTGCAAAGAACTGGAAGATCAGCAGCATGATGGTCACACCGCTCATGCCGTAGTAAACACTGTACTTGGAGCCAATGACAAAGCCCAGACAACTGCAGACCAGCAGGCCCAGCAGCAGCGGCTTCTTGCGGCCCACGCACTCCATGATGAAGGTCGAAGTAAAGTTGCCCATCCAGCGGCAGAAGCCGTAGCCAACGAGCCAGCCAGAAGAATAGCTCGTGCCATAGTTCGAAATCACGGATACGAGCAGGACAAAGAGGACAAAGTGGGATATGCTGAGGGCGTTCATGGCGCGCAGATAGGCCAGCTGGAGGAAGGCGGGCAGTGCCTGGACAATGCTCTGGCTCGTGGATATGTCCTTGTTATGGGCCAGATATCGCTTGTGCTCGGCCAGCTGTTCGTAGGTATCGCTGGTGAGCGTGTACGGTCGCTGTAGGCGGCGCAGGGCATCGATGGCGCCTTCTTCGTCGCCCTTGGCCAGCGTCAGGACCGGCGATTCAATGCACAGGAATGCGCCCAGACCCAGGGCTAACAGGCCATAGACGGCGCTCAGGATTCCCTTCAGATTCTCGGCCGAGAAGCTGCTGGATGAATAATAACCAGAATACGTCCATGTGCTGGTGTAGATGACCTGCAGCAGGATGCCAATGCCGAAGCACAACTGCTCGGTGCTCGCCGCGACCATGCCGCGTATATACGGAACGGACACCTCACCGGCCAGCGCCATGAATGGCGCAAACACCAATCCATTGCCAATTCCATCCAGATAGGAGGCAGCCACAACTGCACCACCATTATCTCGGATGGCGCCCATGACAACGCCTCCGACTGTCACCAAAAGTGCACTGAAAAGCTGCGCGTGCAGTGAAACAGATAAATCAGCAGGGAAGTGCAGGGATTATATACATATATGTCTCCTATCGATCACTTACCAAGACATACTTCTTGGGCACTCTGATGGCGAGGGCGAGGACGCAGCTGATAACCGCTCCGATAATGGCGGCAATGAACCAGGCAATAAAATTGTGCAGTGTGGTGTGGTAGGAGATGGGACCACGGAACCCAATGCACCACGCAATGTTCATGCCACCCGAGATGAAGATTAGACCGGCTGCAAAGGGGCAAGAACCGAATTTACGTATTAAAAAAAAGGAATCTATCGTTGATTCGAGTCATGGTTTTCGTATGACGTCACTTGGTTGGCTATCCAGTCCAGGAATAGGCTCCAATCAGGGTTATCTTATCGGACTGTTGTCAATGCAGAGCAGATGACTAATTCCCAGAGCTACTCACCAGCAGCCACGGCATTCGATTGGGGCTTGTTCCTTTGGTTGCGACTGAAGCAACCGCCGCTGGGGGGCACCACTGTGGTCGGTGCATCCTGCTGATGAGGTGGTGGTATATGTGCAGCCGGGGGCGGCACTGCGCCATAGCTATGGCCAGGTGGTGGTGGTCCGGGCGGTGCACCGTAGTACTGTGGTGGGTTGCCCTGCTGTATAAAACCGGGCTGGGGATATCCCGGCTGTGGGTAGCCACCAGGCTGGGGATATCCGTGCTGTGGGGGATATCCTTGCTGTGGGGGATATCCCGGCTGTGGCTGTGGATATCCTGGCTGTGGCTGTGGCTGTGGATATCCAGGCGCTGAGAGTTCTGGCTGTGGATGTCCTGGCTGCGGTGGTGCCGAGCTGAAGCCTGGCGCTGGTGCCTCGAACTTATCGTTTTTCATCGTTTCTGCTCTTCGGTTTTGAGGGTTTCCTTTTCGAGGGGTACAGCCAGCCGCCCGTGATGGGTTACGATTCCAAACTGATTGACCGAATGCCAGGGCAAGGGATTTTTGTGGCTTTTTGCGACTGGGCCTTGGCCAACTGATAATCGAGCAGAGAGAGGCCCGGGAGGCTTATCTATCGCGAATGGCATTGATAGCACTCCAACTGGTATTAGAAACGCAGCCTGTGCCGTGTGATAAGTGAGTCTTATCGCAATGTTCATGAATTATGGGTGTACTACCGGCCCCCCACCCAATCAAGTGGCCCACCCATCTAGATGGTGTCGCCCTCGCCATTGTCAAGTGGTGGTACGGTTAGGCCAAGATGCGGAATCGTCGTGTGCTTCCCCACAATCAGCAGCGGCAGCTGAATCACTCGTAGTTCTTGGTAACTCTGCAATCTGCCATCCCGTGGGTGAATTACACAATTAAACAAAATTTTCTTTTGGTTTTTAGATCAATTTGTATTTCATTTAGTTAGAAATCCTTGTTGAACCACTTGCTAAACTTCTGCTGAGCCTCCGTGAGCGTGGTGCGCCTCGTCTCCGGCAGGCAGAAGATGCCCAGAAAGAAGAAGGCCATGGACAGACCGCCCAGCACATAAAAGTAGGCCACAATGCCAGCTGGACTACTGGGCGCAAAGCTGCAGAAGATGAGTCGCAGTAGCAGCTCCATGACATATACGAGGGCCACATATTGGGGCTTGATGGCCAGGGGAAAGGCCTCCGTGAGATACACCGCCGAGGCGGTTTGTCCCAAGCCAGCAAAGAACTGCAGGCTGAATAGCAGACCGAGGGCCGCCTTCATATGCGGCGTGCGCCCAAAGAGGGTGGCAAAGGCGAGGGCCAGCGAGCCGCAGGAGAAGCAACCGAATAGCGTGGGCTTCTTGCGGCCGGTCGTGTCCATGAGGAGGAGCACGCAGAAGCAGCCACACCAGCGCATCACACCGAAGATCACATAGGGCCAGGCATGGAAATGGGTAAGCAGCTGGACGGCCGTCTCGTAGAGGGCACTCCACACGACCAGCGTCAGGCAGAGGGCATTGAGGGATCGATGGGCCAGCAGCTTGAGCAGCGGCGGCACGCCCATGCGGATGCTCTGCCACAGGCTCAGCCCTCGGTTGGTGGCCACATACAGCTTGTGCTCGTCCAGCTGGAGCAGGGTCTCGCTGGTGACCATGTAGGGACGTTGCAGGTGCCGCAGAGCTGCCACCGCCTGCTGCTCATTGGAGCGCAGCAGCAGGCTGACCGGCGACTCCACGCACAGCGTCGAGGCAAAGGCAAGGGCCACCACGCCAAGGAGAATGCTGAGCACACCGTGCACCTGATCGGCGGCAATTGTCACGTTCCAGTCCACCTGCCACACGGCCGTGTAGAGCAGCTGCAGCAGGATGCCAGTGTTGCAGCTCAGCTGCTCCACCGTCGAGGCCAGCAGACCGCGCATGCCGCACACAGAGAGCTCGCCCACGGTGCTCATGGCGGGCACAAACACCAGACCATTGGCCAGTCCGTCCAGATAGCGGGCTGTGATGATGGCCGCCGGCTGCTCGTGGCAGGTCAGGAAGAGTATGCCCGAGACCAGCACCAGACAGGATCCGAGAATCTGCGAAGTCAGAGAGATCTCTCACTCTCCATCCATTTCCACTTCTCTCTCTCTGCGATCTACTCACATAGACGGGCTGCTGGCAGGGCAGGCGATGGGTGCAGAGTGCCCCCAATACTGCTCCTATGGTGGCCGCGGCATACCAGGACACCTGCATGTGGAACGTCATCAGCAGCTCGTCCCGATGGGCGGAATGAACGGCAAAGCCGACACCCCAGGCCAGGCTCATGCCGCCCGAAATCAGGATGAACGACACCGAGCCGAGGGCATTCCACTGTGGCTGGTTCTTGTAGCAGCGACTGAGACAGCTGCGTCTTCTGCCCGGCGCTGTGCACGAATCCTGTGGCGTTGGCGCATACTTATCCGTCGCCATGCTCCAGTTGTCTCAGAGGCGGCCGACCAATTTTGCTCCTATTTATAATGGAACCCTGGCTGGAGGGATGTATGGCTCCTGTTTATCAGCTTATCGCGTATCCAAAAAACCATAACCGGTAGCCGGCACACCATAACTGTCGTAATAAAACCATCCCACGGGGGGCGCGCACGCATCAATCGAAATGGCAATGGCAAAAATCAATTTGCCTGGGACCCGCCCACCAGAGTCTTAATTAATATGATTTTGACTGGCATAAATCAATGGGAGTTAGGCGGGTGGGTGGTTAGGCTGCTTGGCACCTGTGACTGGCAATAGCTCATCAAAGTTCGGGGTATTTTTTGGTTCGTTTGGCTGATGGTTCGGCGCAACCGAATTCTTGTAAAACATCTGAGCCCAGTAATCAGATAAGATTACGTACAGGCCATGAAAAATTATAGCACAATTTAGTGAGTTAAGTGGAAAACGAATACAAAGCAAGTACCTTGAATATTCCCCACTTCGAGGAAATCCTATGATATCTGCTACTTAATAAACATGACCTATGGCCACTAATATGTGTATTATGTAAACCATCATTAATGTTAATAATTCAAAATTTTGGGAAATATATTGCATTTTAATTGAAATATTTCCTGTAAAATTTTTGCCTAATATTTTCAATGCAATAAACGAATTTTTTAAGGCCTATTTTCAGCAAGTTTCCATTCGATTTTGCGATTACATTCTGTATCCTTGCTAGCCTTCACTTATTTACCTCACCCCACCCCTTTTTAATAAATTTTTTCATGCCAGATCCAATCTTCTGGCCAGCTTTTGCATGCAGTTTCCTTTTTGAAGTTTATGGTCTAGCAGCAAGAAAATTTTGCCGAGTTGCCCGAAAAAAAGAGGGTGTGGGGAGGAGAACTTGTACCTGTAACACACTCCTTTCGCCTGCCACTGCATTGCGGCAGGCAATATTAACTTCTGTTAGGCAGATTAAGCCCAGCCCAGGCCAGGCCACGGCCGGGACCATTGTGTGTGTGTGTGTGTGTGTGTGTTAGCTCTGTTAGATGCCAACATTGATGAGTTTGCGGAACTTCTGCTGGGTGCCGCGCAGCGTGGTCAATCGGGTCTCTGGCAGGCAGAAAATGCCAGCAATAAAGCCAAACAGATATAGTCCACCAATGGCATAGAAGTAGCTGCCGCCATCGTATAAATTGAAATGAGCCGACGAGACAATGATGTACACGAGCATCTCAGCGATGAAGGTGAAGGCGATACAGGGCTGCTTGACACCCAGCGGATAGGCCTCCGTCAGATACGGCGAGGTGGAGGTGAACGCTAGGCCTGCAAAGAACTGGAAGATCAGCAGCATGATGGTCACACCGCTCATGCCGTAGTAAACACTGTACTTGGAGCCAATGACAAAGCCCAGACAACTGCAGACCAGCAGGCCCAGCAGCAGCGGCTTCTTGCGGCCCACGCACTCCATGATGAAGGTCGAAGTAAAGTTGCCCATCCAGCGGCAGAAGCCGTAGCCAACGAGCCAGCCAGACGAATAGCTCGTGCCATAGTTCGCAATCACGGATACGAGCAGGACAAAGAGGACAAAGTGGGATATGCTGAGGGCGTTCATGGCGCGCAGATAGGCCAGCTGGAGGAAGGCGGGCAGTGCCTGGACAATGCTCTGGCTCGTGGATATGTCCTTGTTATGGGCCAGATATCGCTTGTGCTCGGCCAGCTGTTCGTAGGTATCGTTGGTGAGCGTGTACGGTCGCTGTAGTCGGCGCAGGGCATCGATGGCGCCTTCTTCGTCGCCCTTGGCCAGCGTCAGGACCGGCGATTCAATGCACAGGAATGCGCCCAGACCCAGGGCTAACAGGCCACAGACGGCGCTCAGGATTCCCTTCAGATTCTCGGCCGAGTATGAATTATAGCCAGAATATGTCCATGTGCTGGTGTAGATGACCTGCAGCAGGATGCCAATGCCGAAGCACAACTGCTCGGTGCTCGCCGCGACCATGCCGCGTATATACGGAACGGACACCTCACCGGCCAGCGCCATGAATGGCGCAAACACCAATCCATTGCCAATTCCATCCAGATAGGAGGCAGCCACAACTGCACCACCATTATATCGGATGGCGCCCATGACAACGCCTCCGACTGTCACCAAAAGTGCACTGAAAAGCTGCGCGTGCAGTGAAACAGATAAATCAGCAGGGAAGTGCAGGGATTATATACATATATGTCTCCTATCGATCACTTACCAAGACATACTTCTTGGGCACTCTGATGGCGAGGGCGAGGACGCAGCTGATAACCGCTCCGATAATAGCGGCAATGAACCAGGCAATAAAATTGTGCAGTGTGGTGTGGTAGAAGATGGGACCACGGAACCCAATGCACCACGCAATGTTCATGCCACCCGAGATGAAGATTAGACCGGCTGCAAAGGGGCAAGAACCGAATTTACGTATTAACGAGAAGGAACGTGTGAGTCGTTTCAGGGGACACGACTCTACTTATAACCGTACTCAGTCAGTATATACAGCTTATCATTCTGTAGAATTTTGGAAAAAAAAAAATTTTACATTTTACATTTTTTTGCTACATCTGCTATCTACATCTACATATACAATGTCTATTATACATCTAACATGTAGATTGTACGTGTTCCATTTAGATTCTACATCTCCTCCGCTATGGGTTGCTCGCGCACTGAACGCGGCAGAGTGTGCGAGCGAGAAGGAAAATGAGTTGCGCTGTCGTTTTCTGGAGGGGGGGGCAGGGGAAGCAACTGAAAATTAATTTCGTCATTCTGGCTATAATTATGATCCGATCTGATTCAGATTCGGCAGTCTGGTAGATATGGGCATTCTCTACGATATCGTTTTCTTTATCGTTTCTTTAAAATTGTGGCTGCCACAGATTTTCGTCCTTTGTGGAGGCGGAAGGGGGCGGGGCGAAATTTTGAAATACACTTGTAGCAGTGTGATATCACATGAGTCTGGAAACCAAATTTGGTTTCCCTAGCTCTTATAGTCTCTGAGATCCAGGCGTCAAACAAGACGGACAGACGGACAGACAGACATGGCTCTATCGACTCGGCTATTGATGCTGATCAAGAATATATATACTTTATGGGGTCGGAAACGTTTCCTTCTCTGCGTTACACACATCCACTTTTACCACAAATCTAATATACCCCTTAACTCTTTTTTGAGTACGGGTATAAAAAAAAGGAATCTATCGTTGATTGGAGTCATGGTTTTCGTATGACGTCACTTGGTTGGCTATCCAGTCCAGGAATAGGCTCCAATCAGGGTTATCTTATCGGACTGTTGTCAATGCAGAGCAGATGACTAATTCCCAGAGCTACTCACCAGCAGCCACGGCATTCGATTGGGGCTTGTTCCTTTGGTTGCGACTGAAGCAACCGCTGCTGGGGGGCACCACTGTGGTCGGTGCATCCTGCTGATGAGGTGGTGGTAGATGTGCAGCCGGGGGCGGCACTGCGCCATAGCTATGGCCAGGTGGTGGTGGTCCGGGCGGTGCACCGTAGTACTGTGGTGGGTTGCCCTGCTGTATAAAACCGGGCTGGGGATATCCCGGCTGTGGGTAGCCACCAGGCTGGGGATATCCGTGCTGTGGGGGATATCCTTGCTGTGGGGGATATCCGTACTGTGGGGGATATCCTTGCTGTGGGGGATATCCCGGCTCTGGCTGTGGATATCCTGGCTGTGGCTGTGGATATCCAGGCGCTGAGAGTTCTGGCTGTGGATGTCCTGGCTGCGTTGGTGCCTCGAACTTATCGTTTTTCATCGTTTCTGCTCTTCGGTTTTGAGGGTTTCCTTTTCGAGGGGTACAGCCAGCCGCCCGTGATGGGTTACGATTCCAAACTGATTGACCGAATGCCAGGGCAAGGGATTTTTGTGGCTTTTTGCGACTGGGCCTTGGCCAACTGATAATCGGGCAGAGGGGCCCGGAAGGCTTATCTATCGCGAATGGCATTGATAGCACTCCAACTGGTATTAGAAACGCAGCCTGTGCCGTGTGATAAGTGAGTCTTATCGCAATGTTCATGAATTATGGGTGTAGTGGCCCACCCATCTAGATGGTGTCGCCCTCGCCATTGTCAAGTGGTGGTACGGTTAGGCCAAGATGCGGGATCGTCGTGTGCTTCCCCACAATCAGCAGCGGCAGCTGAATCACTCGTAGTTCTTGGTAACTGTGCAATCTGCCATCCCGTGGGTGAATTACACAATTAAACAAAATTTTCTTTTGGTTTTTAGATCAATTTGTATTTCATTTAGCTAGAAATCCTTGTTGAACCAGTTGCTAAACTTCTGCTGAGCCTCCGTGAGCGTGGTGCGCCTCGTCTCCGGCAGGCAGAAGATGCCCAGAAAGAAGAAGGCCATGGACAGACCGCCCAGCACATAAAAGTAGGCCACAATGCCAGCTGGACTACTGGGCGCAAAGCTGCAGAAGATGAGTCGCAGTAGCAGCTCCATCACATATACGAGGGCCACATATTGGGGCTTGATGGCCAGGGGAAAGGCCTCCGTGAGATACACCGCCGAGGCGGTTTGTCCCAAGCCAGCAAAGAACTGCAGGCTGAATAGCAGACCGAGGGCCGCCTTCATATGCGGCGTGCGCCCAAAGAGGGTGGCAAAGGCGAGGGCCAGCGAGCCGCAGGAGAAGCAACCGAATAGCGTGGGCTTCTTGCGGCCGGTCGTGTCCATGAGGAGGAGCACGCAGAAGCAGCCACACCAGCGCATCACACCGAAGATCACATAGGGCCAGGCATGGAAATGGGTAAGCAGCTGGACGGCCGTCTCGTAGAGGGCACTCCACACGACCAGCGTCAGGCAGAGGGCATTGAGGGACCGATGGGCCAGCAGCTTGAGCAGCGGTGGCACGCCCATGCGGATGCTCTGCCACAGGCTCAGCCCTCGGTTGGTGGCCACATACAGCTTGTGCTCGTCCAGCTGGAGCAGGGTCTCGCTGGTGACCATGTAGGGACGTTGCAGGTGCCGCAGAGCTGCCACCGCCTGCTGCTCATTGGAGCGCAGCAGCAGGCTGACCGGCGACTCCACGCACAGCGTCGAGGCAAAGGCAAGGGCCACCACGCCAAGGAGAATGCTGAGCACACCGTGCACCTGGTCGGCGGCAATTGTCACGTTCCAGTCCACCTGCCACACGGCCGTGTACAGCAGCTGCAGCAGGATGCCAGTGTTGCAGCTCAGCTGCTCCACCGTCGAGGCCAGCAGACCGCGCATGCCGCACACAGAGAGCTCGCCCACGGTGCTCATGGCGGGCACAAACACCAGACCATTGGCCAGTCCGTCCAGATAGCGGGCTGTGATGATGGCCGCCGGCTGCTCGTGGCAGGTCAGGAAGAGTATGCCCGAGACCAGCACCAGACAGGATCCGAGAATCTGCGAAGTCAGAGAGATCTCTCACTCTCCATCCATTTCCACTTCTCTCTCTCTGCGATCTACTCACATAGACGGGCTGCTGGCAGGGCAGGCGATGGGTGCAGAGTGCCCCCAATACTGCTCCTATGGTGGCCGCGGCATGCCAGGACACCTGCATGTGGAACGTCATCAGCAGCTCGTCCCGATGGGCGGAATGAACGGCAAAGCCGACACCCCAGGCCAGGCTCATGCCGCCCGAAATCAGGATGAACGACACCGAGCCGAGGGCATTCCACTGTGGCTGGTTCTTGTAGCAGCGACTGAGACAGCTGCGTCTTCTGCCCGGCGCTGTGCACGAATCCTGTGGCGTTGGCGCATACTTATCCGTCGCCATGCTCCAGTTGTCTCAGAGGCGGCCGACCAATTTTGCTCCTATTTATAATGGAACCCTGGCTGGAGGGATGTATGGCTCCTGTTTATCAGCTTATCGCGTATCCAAAAAACCATAACCGGTAGCTGCCACACCATAACTGTCGTAATAAAACCATCCCACGGGGGGCGCGCACGCATCAATCGAAATGGCAATGGCAAAAATCAATATGCCTGGGACCCGCCCACCAGAGTCTTAATTAATATGATTTTGACTGGCATAAATCAATGGGAGTTAGGCGGGTGAATGGGCAGGCTGCTGGGCACCTGTGACTGCCAATAGCTAATCAAAGTTCGGGGTATTTTTTGGTTCGTTTGGCTGATGGTTCGGCGCAACCGAATTCTTGTAAAACATCTGAGCCCAGTAATCAGATAAGATTACGTACAGGCCATGAAAAATTATGGCACAATTTAGTGAGTTAAGTGGAAAGCGACTACAAAGCAAGTACATTGAATATTCCCCACTTCGAGGAAATCCTATGCTATCTGCTACTTCATAAACATGACCTATGGCCTGTAATCTCTCTTCTTATAGTAGCCCTAGCACTAGGTGGTAGGGGCGTCGGCTGTCGAGGCACTGTCGGTCGGGATTCACTGGTTCCGTGCTCTTTCGGTAACTTGGGGGGGGTTCGTTTGACCGCGTCTCGACTCCTACTACATAAACTTAATATAGAATCCCTTGACTCTAAATGGAGCTAAACTCCGAAAACAACACACTGCATAAACATACCCTGTCTACGAAACAAACCGGGAATGAGCAAAAGAAAGGCTTTTGTCGATTCGCTCCAAAAGAGGTATGCGCGAGGCCTTGAGGTGGTATTCGACCCGCACTACTCTTTACCCGCCCTTCCATGATTTCCGATATGCAATACTTTTCCGGAAATCCCGTTTTTTTGTTCACCCTATCTCATTATGTCCCCATGTCACCAGGAAATTAATATCTTAACCGTCCATATTCATATTCATAAATTTCAGGTTATATTTCTGCACTTAGGCAAAGGCATCCAACACAAAATGCAAGCGAAACTTAAAAGAACTAAAAAAAATATATACAGCCTAATTTAAGTAGTAGAAAAGAGGAGAAAAAAAATTGCTTAAACCATAATAAAAATATAAGAATATATCATATAAAAATTATAAACATACCAAAAAAATCAACAATATATGTATAGCAGGATAGAAGTAGGTCGGTAAAATTAATTAGGAATATTCCATAATAATAAAAAAAATGTATAGAAAAATAATATAATTATTAAAACTACATCATGTTAAGGCATTGGGCAAATTATTTATCCGAACAAAGATAAACGAAAAGGTGATTGGAAGCCGCAATTAAAATTCAAAGGAAACTTTTTCTTTGTTGGCTAGTGTAGGTTTAATGCATTAGAAGAATGCAACCAATTCGAAAAACAAACAAACACGCAAAACGGAACTACCGACTAAACCTAACGGAAAGCTATGAGTAAAAAGCTTTACGCAGGCATAGCGGCAGCCGAATATCGTAAGCGCAAGCCCGTTTGGCTTAAGAGAATACCCGCACAAAAGGGAAATGGGAAATCGTGTCTTTCTTTGCTCTCACTTACGGCTTACAGTGGTCCCTCGCTGAAAGGCGCCTTTCGCTGAGATTTTCTGTGGAGGCTGTGGAAAAATTTTACGGTTTGCCCATGTCGGGTGGTTATGCACAAGGGGGGTATATAGATAGAAAGTTTTTCTTCTTTTTAACCAAAAACAAAAAAGTAAAATTTTGAAGATTAACAGCAGCGGGTTTTTTTGTTTTTTTTTTTTTTTGAGGGCTTACTGTACTTAAATAAATGCAAGAAAAGAAGTAAAGAGAGGTATAAAAGCTACACTAGACTACTCGAAATTTAATACGGCATCCTCAACGGCTTCATCTGCTCTTGGTGAGGGGGGTGGTGGGCTACTTCCAGCAGCTTGCTCGGGGCAGCGACGGCAACGCTTGGCGGCTGCGCAAAGGTTATGGCCGGTGCAGGTTATGTAACCTCCCAAGGAAAATTCGGCCGTTTCCAATCGGGGTGAAAATTTTATGGCCCACACCAAGGTACGGCGGCCTAGCCATAGATAGCGGCGTGACCTGGTGTGGGTACAAAGACTGATGCGGGACAGGCTGTCAATCGCTTCCCAGGCACTAAGGCGACAAAAAAACAAAAAACTCTATGAACCTACTCTTTTTCTTTTCCTTATAGGGCTTTAACCGTACCGTTCTTGTCTGCTTTTGAACAGGAGAGGATCGTTGGTCGGGTCTTTTCCACCGACGTGGTGTGAGGCGTGGCTGTAGGCGTGGCAGCAGCGTGGCGGCAGCGTGGCCAAGGGATTTTTCTCCGAACTCTCACACTTTTTACTTGTTTTTAGGCTTCACTCACAGCACAGCACAGCACAGAATTTAAAAATGACAAAATGTTTTTTTTTCGTTTACTCCGGACAGTTATATAACTTTTTCGGACACGTGGTTAAAATCTAAGGGTTCTACGGAACGTTTTGCCTCTCGCACGGATCCAACGATTAGAATTTTCAAAAGAGCACGACCTGGCCTTTTGATCCGTTTAAATACGAGCTAAAGATCTAAACGGACTCCCGTGCTAAAGCTTCGCTTCGATGCGCTGCACTGCACTGGCTCAAGCTTAGCTCAGCTGTTCTAAGTCCAGAGCTTGCACGCACCCACCCGAAACTATGCTACAAACATAATTGGCATAAATAGGGAAATCAAGGTTATTGCATGCGAGAATTTTGAGCAACATAGCAATAAGCTTTTATGTGTTTTTGCTGCTCAACGGCGACCGTTACACCACCCGATAATATCACACCGTTAGACGGAATATTAGCGGGAATCAGGCTTTAATGTCCTTCGCATGAAATGTTCCTATTTCT